TGATTTTCATTGGAGGTTTGTCATCAAATTTGAGTCTGCCTTCTTTAATCACTCCTTGAACGAGATCCCTGAAAAGAAAACATTGTGAAGTTTTATGGCCCAAAAAATTATGATACTTACAAAAACCTATTTTCTTTCTTTGTTCTAAAGGAGGAATTTTTTCCCTTGAGGGTACTATCATTTAGCCATCTTTAACTAACAAGTCAAATATCTCGTCACATTTTGTGATGTCGAAACTATATATTTTCTTAGGGAATCTATCACTATTCTTTTCATATTCAGTAGGATTCTTCCCATATGAGGGCACTAACAGTCTACAAGAGTATGGGGGCCCTTGTTTTAATTCTGCTAAATCTATTTCGCTTTCTTCGACAGCTATAGGATCACTAGATGTCTCTGGATCGTCATTATCCATTTCGATATAGGCTACCCTTTCTCTTTGATGGGTCTTACCCTTTCTCTTTGATGGGTCTTAGTTGCTTTAGCTTTTTCAATTTTAACACGTTCTACCTGTCGAACTCTATCGGCCAATTGGGCCATATCCCTCAGGTATTGGGTATCTAATTTTTTCCTAATAGAATAATCTAGGCCCCCTGCTGCCATTTCAACCAATTCATGTTCAGGTACTTGTGTAAAGCATATGGCTTTGAGCAGTCGAAATCTATTTAGATATTTATCTATTGGCTCGGGGAATCTCCTTTTCACGCTAGCCAGTTCTTTTAGACTTATTTTGGTTTGTCCCGTGTAAAATTGTTCATGGAACAATCTCTCCAATTGATTCCAATTATGGATCAAATTGGCTGGGAGGGTGGTAAACCAAGTAAAAGCGTTTTTAGTTAGAGAACTTGGGAAGTATTTAATCCTAAGGCTCTCGTTATTTGATATTTCTCCAACTTTTATCAAATATCTCGCTATGTGTTCGACAATAGATTATGTCGTATCCCCTGAAAATTTAGTGAACTTTGGAACTTTCCATCTAGAGGGTAAATCTGTTTGCAAGATATACTCTTACAACGGGGATGTAAAGTTTGGCCTATGAAAGCCAATGTTTATTCCGTTTTGTATCATAATTCTTTCTATCATGGCTGTCAGATTATTATCTGTTCCATAATTATGATGTCGAACTTGCTGTATCATTTCGTCAGCATTTTGGTTTATATTTACCACCATTACACCTTGATCACCATCTCTAGGAATCTGTGGGGGAAATCTGGGTATTTCGACCCTAGGTTGTTCGATTTCCACTTTGTGGTTCCTCCTATCTAGCTCTGGGTTTTGGTTAATGATTGCATCTTCTTCTAAGACTATACCTTGATTCTCTCTCATAGGTGCTCTTTGGGGTTGTCGAATAGGTTGGGGAACCCCAAAAAATTCAGTCACGCGCGCCATCCGCGCTGACATTTGTTGGTTCGACTGGGTGGTATTTTGTATTAGAGGGTTCAACATTGTACTCAGAGTTTGGGCCAACATTTGTACCATATCATAGTTGCTTTCACCCATTTGTTGCCTTAAAATTATTGTGGAAGCATTTGTGAGGCTTGGTATTGCATGGGATGCCCCTCCTAAGATTTGGTTTCTACCCAAGTTCGCCATACCAGTTTTAGATCCTTGTAATGGCGAAGACGCACTCACTAAAGGTTTTGAAAATGTAGACGCAGCGTTCATAAGACTAGCCATTTCAGTAGTTGGCATGCCATAAGGCTGGTCTCGACCCATCCAGGCTGTCGAAAATCCCGGGGGAGCGTAGAGTCGAGATCCTGGATTCACCCTTGGTGGGGGTGTTCCTGATGGACCTCTGGGACCTGCATACGAAAGTATTGGTCCTATTTGGGTTGCTGTTAATGTTGGTGCCGAACCAATGGTTGACGAGACAATTTCACTAACAATTGGTATAACCGTTGTTCCCGTAGTAATTGCTGGAGGTATTTCTCCATTATTTGGCTGATTAGCCATATTGCTTTCACTATTTCTCTTTCTAGTTGTACACTCATTGGTGGTTAGTTTACCACTTCTTAATAGCATACAAGATTTCGTAAAAGAAAAGAAATTACGCAAAGCATTTATGTGAATATAAACAAACAAAACAAAAAACAAAAAAAATTAGCAAGGTCCCACCAGGTGTGCCAATTTGTTCACCGTGTTTTTCGATAAATAACCGTCGATCTTCCAAAAAGGGTAAATTTTTTGTTACTCGCAGGATCGATCAGTTTGATCCTAAGACATATGCTAATTTTTGACGTTGTTTGGGCATAAATGCTAATGTGAATGAAGAACGCACGTTCGACTGAGAAAGGTTGAGGTTTGGGACGAGTTTGAGTGTAGAAAGTAAATAGAAAAAGGGTTTGGGAAAAGTACAAGTGCAGGAATCTGAGAAAATGTGCAAGTAAAGTGCAAACAAGATAAAAAAGCAAGAAATGTAAAGAGAAAAGTAAAAGACTTTGATTATAAAATGTGGTGTCTCAAACGTACATTTTCAGTATTCTTTCTCACGCAGCGGGTACTTGAATAGTATTGAATAACTTGTACGATCAGTTGAACACACAGAAATCTACATAAACTTCCTATATTTATACTAAAACTAGGTAACCGTCGAGGAGTTGTCTTGCTCTAGGATGAGGACACGTGTCTTCTGCATGTGCTTCGACCTCTATCTTCATGCCACGTTGCTTTCTTCAACTGCTAAGCGAACTACTTTTCCCTCATTTCTTCAGATTTAAAATCACTTGTTGCTGATACGAGGTTTCCTTCTAGTCGAAGGCTCTGGAACCCTTTCAGTTGAAGGATGTAAGAACCTTCTGGTCGAAGATTCATTTTAACTTAGAAATTTCTCTAAGTATTTTTTCAATTTGTCGAAGTATTTCCAGCTTAGATTTGTTCAATCTATTTTTGGCCCATAAGGCTAATTTATTGTGGGTATCAAATTTAGGAGCTAACAATAATCAACTGTCGAGATTAACCAGGGGAATCTACTACCGAGATTCTATTGAGAAACTACCTTCCGCCAGGGTATTCTAGAAAATTATCTGCCGAGATTAACCAGGGGAATCTACTGTCAAGATTTTATTGAGAAACTACCTTCTACCGAGGTATTCTGGAAAATCATCTCCCGAGATTAACTAGGGGAATCTACTGTCGAGATTCCGTGGAGAACTTGATTTGTCAATGATGATTGTCTTCACATGAAACATGGTTTTATGTTATGCGTGTAAATTTGATTGTGCATGAAATGTAATAATTGATTGATGCATGTAATGAGTGACACAGATATGTATCGATGGATGTTGGATTTTGAAATGCGAATGCATAATTGGGCTTTTGAGATATGCTCGATCCATGCTATCAGAATTCATTAGATGGATGAGATGATACGTATAGCTCGATTCTGGATCGAAGTGACCTAATGAATGCATGATAATAATTTATGCAGACTCGTATGCTTTTTAAATGGTGTCCATGTTGTGGGCAAATAAATTATTAAGACTTAGAGAGGTTACTAGTGCAACAAGAATGATTATTGTAAAAGTGGTAAGGTATTATGCTGACATGGCTTCCCGATACTCTTTTTAAACTTGAAGATTGCGTATGTAGAAGAGAGGTCTCCTGAGGATTGTGAAAGTATGAAGAGAGCTTGCCTTTTGTGGCCTATCTTGCCCCAACATTTGAATTGTGAAACACCATGCCCTTGATTAACTGACCCTTGAAATGATTTTCCCTTGATGAACTATTTAGAACCAATTTCTGAGTCTCGCAGTAGTCTACCCCAATATTTGAATTTTGAAAGGCATGCCCCTATCTTTAGGACTTGGAGGAGTGTCCTAAGAAGGAACTTGAATCCCTCCATTCTGTGATACAGGTTTTGATATAGGTTTCCCTAAGTGTCTAAATCTTAAAAAGTATGCCCTTTATCAACTGGTGTTTTGAGAAGTGATCCAAGTTGACCAAATCTTAGAATAAGTTCTCATAGTCAACATGATCCTCAGTTGATGTGCCCCTATGATCATTATGATTTGCCCCTGTTTATAGAGGTCCTCTTAGATGCTTTGCACCTAGTTAAAAGCTTCTTGGAAATGCTTCCTTTGATCAGACCATTTTTGAAATCTCCTTGATGCTAAGTATTGACTCGTAAGTAAAATTGTCCCCTTTGAAAAGTAATCCTAATGTGATGTACATGCAAGTTCTGAAATCGAAATTGATTATTGAAAAGAAATGGATGATTAGAGACGAAGAAGTGGCAATGCGATTTAGTGATAATTTAACAAACATTAGGAGTCAGTTTAACACAAATCTGACTGAATATGCTTTCATAGTGAACCTAACTTCAATTAGGACTTTTGAAGGTTGTAACGTGTCATGGTTCATGGTTTAAAAAACAAAAGATATAAGGCTCAAAATTTTATTTATCCCACCCCCATTCTCCTTGATATTCTCCGTTACTAAATTCAATTAATCCAATATAAGTGTTCAGTCTGCAAGAGAACTTTCGTAGTCGCGATAATGAGTAGGAGCATTGATAAGATTTAAACACTTGATGAGAAGCATTAATGTTTATTGAGGTAGCCGTCACAATATTTTTCTCTAATTTATTTGTTTTAATCCTTTTTTTTACATGAGCCAATTCTTTTAAATTTGGTCTATCGTGATACACAAACTTTTCCCTAAGTCAAGATTTTCTTTTATTAAATATGACATGTTCATAATTATAATTATTTCTATAATTTGAATGTACTCTTTGAAATAGTTTATATAAATTAATTTAATTTAAACTAGCTTCATCTTTTTTCATAAAAAGCTAATTTACAATGGTTGTTTTTTCTGCAATTGCCTATCAGTAACACTGAACAACTTAGTATCATTTGACACTCCACAACAAAGCAACGTCGTATTTGGTCGGCGCATGAAGTTATCTTGTTGATGTTCCTGCGAATTTCCCCACTAAATTAAAAAGCTTCGATTCAATTCAACAATGCTTCATTAGTGTATCTTTTGAATCCATTCAATCCATGGAAATTCTCATCTCTTCAACCTCTAAAACCATTCCATTCCTATTTTTCCGCAACCCCAAATTCTCATCAAACTGTAACAACCCATTTCACAGAAACCGTTTCCCTTTCTATCTAACAACTTCCACTTCAAGAAAGTTTCAAACTTGGGCCCATTTCGGACGACCCACCAACCGCAGGAATTCTCTGAGGAAGAAGCTTCTTCAGGATAATCAGGTACGCCTCAATCGAATTCCCAATGACCCGTCTTCTGTTTCTAGTAATGATGTTGAAAAGAGTGATGTAAGTTTTCTAAGGGTGATAGTTAATGATGATGATGAGAGTGTTGTTGAATTGGAAAAAGAAAAATCTAAGCTTTTAGGTGAATCTGTTTTGTTGAATAAATTGGAGAATTGGGTTGATCAGTATAGTAAAGATATTGAGTTTTGGGGTATTGGGTCTGGTCCTATATTTACTGTTTATGAAGATTCATTAGGAGGTATTAGAAGGGTTTTAGTTGATGAACAAGAGATTTTGAGAAGAGTTAGGGTTCAGAAAGGTGGAAATAAAATTGAGGATTTATCTGAAGTGAAGTTTAAGATTTTGGAGGCTAAGAAGCTAGCGAGGGATATGGAGAGTGGTGATAATGTGATTGCAAGGAATAGTTCTGTGGCTAAGTTTGTTGTTAAAGGTAAGGAGGAGAAGGAGGAGGGTGGTTTTGTTAAGGCTGTTTGTGGCTCTGTCGCTCAACCTCGGTTGCCTTCGAAGGTTTCTGGGGTTGGTGGCAAAGTATTGATTGTTTTGGTTGTAATGTTTGCGGTGAAGAAATTGTTTAGTTTTGGAGGTAAAGAGGTTCGGTATACAGAAGCAGAGAAGAAAATGATGATGAGGAAGGTAAAGGCTAGAAAGGAGAAAGAGATGCATACGAAGGGTGCTGTTGAAGTTATTCATGAATCTACGGCAACATCGGTGATAGGCTTTAAAAAGCCGAAGTTAGATAAGGAACAGCTTAAGAATACTATTCTTAAAGCTAAGGCTTCTTCTGATAAACTTGTAGTTCAGAATTTGTCTGATGAAGTGAGAACTGGATCGGTTGATATGGACTATAAAGTTCGAGAAATCAGAGAAATGGCGAAGCGGGCACGAGAAATTGAAGGAAGAGATCGTTCTTTAGTTAGTAAGGATGTGGAAAGGGATGATCCTGTCAATGGGAAACCCTCCAATGAGAGTGAAGACATTAAAAAGAATGGCAAACAAGATAACAGTTTAAGTTATCATCAAAATGAAGTTGCCATGAAAGCAACAGATAGTAATGGAGTTCTGCAAACAACTTCTGATGATGTTATGGAGAACAGTGAAAATTCAATCCTGCATGAGGTAGTTCACGATGATAGAGAAATCAATGAAGGGGAAATAGAAATTAACGGACATGCTATGGCCCTCGAGGACGACAAAGACAATAAATTCTCACGTACTCCGATTAATGACTCATTTATGACAAATAAAAGTTCAGCGAACAAGAAACCGAGGATCATACGGTCCGTTAAGGAAGCTAAGGATTATCTTTCAAAGAAACATGACAAACAAAATCCTTATACAAAATCTAAAATTAAAATCGAGAAAGAAAATACTGCTGATTCAAAGCCATCCAAATTTGATGATTATAACAACCAAAAGTCGCAAAATTTGGAGATGAATGATACAATTGTGTCCCGAAGTGACACATTAAACGGAGTGCCGTGTTCTAAGCCTGACATATATGCCAGTGAAGATTCTAATCAGAAGGAAAGGGAAAAGAGCCTGACAGAGAATGAGTGCTTGAAAGATTCTGGTATTGAACCTGGATTGGACGACCTTCAAAAGTTCGAGACCACTTTAGACATTAACAGCCTTGGTGCAGAGGCAAGTCTACCGGTGAAGAAAAGCTTCCTTGAAGTTGAGCCAACAATTGATACTTTAAATATGATATCAGATTCTACGCCTGACCTAAATCCGAATGAAGATTCTGATGAGAAGGATAATAAATTCAGCCAAACAGAGATTGACAACATCAAAGACTCCGATGTTGAACCTTCTATTGAACATAGATTGGAAGAACTTCAAAAGTGTGAAACCACTTTAGACCTTGAAGTTATTGGCACTGGTACAGAGGCAAGTATATCGGTGGACAAAAGCTTCCATGAAGTTGAGCTGACAATTAAACAAAATAGAAGTGATACTTTAAATATGATACCAGATTCTAGGCCTGATCTAAATCCGAGTGAAGATTCTGATGAGAAGGATAATAAATTCAGCCAAACAAAGATTGACAACATTAAAGACGCTGATGTTAAACCTGGAGTGGGAAATCCTCAAAATTCTGAGACTAATTCGGACTATGAAGTTAATGGTGATAGACGCAAGAAACGATTTTCTGGAAAGACAGAAAATTGGCTGGAGACAAATTTTCATGAAGTTGAGCCTATAATTAAGCAAATTAGAGCTGGATTTCGAGATAACTACGCGGTTGCAAAAGAAAGAGTTGATCAAACTTTGGATATACCAACTGAGGCGGAGTCACTCGGTGAAGATGGCGGAGAACTTGACTGGATGCAGAATGATCATCTTAGGGACATTGTGTTTAGAGTCCGTGATAATGAACTGTCTGGACGAGAACCATTCCATTTGATGAATGACGAAGATAAAGAAGCTTTCTTCGAAGGTCTTGAGAAAAAAGTGGTGAAAGAAAACAAAAAACTTTCTCACCTCCATGAATGGCTCCATTCAAATATCGAAAATCTTGATTACGGAGCAGGTAGTTTGCATATTTCTAAAATCATAATACACATATTGTGATAACTTCTAATTTTGTGAAGCTGCATTTTCTTTTTGTTGCTTCACGAAATTAAAATGTTACTTTGTTCGTTTAAATTCTGTAGATATAGTATCAATTTGCATTTTCTTTTGAATATTTTTAAAAATCATGCTAATAGTGGTCTTTTATTTCTCTAGATGGCATTAGTATATATGATTCACCTGAAAAAATCATACCGCGTTGGAAAGGACCTTCTGCCGAGAAAATTCCCGAGTCCCTAAATGAATTCCTCGAGAAAAAAAGAAAGACAACTTCCTCCAAAAACTTGAACCCGGTGAAGAAGGATGAGAAGGACTCTACTAAAAATTCACCTGATTCATCTTCAAAAGTAAAGGTTGATGGTTCTATAGCGCCAGTTAAGAAGTCAAAAACACCAAAGACTATTGTTGAAGGTAGTGATGGTTCTGTTAAAGCTGGCAAAAAATCGGGGAAGGAATATTGGCAGCACACAAAGAAGTGGTCTCAGGAATTTTTGGAGTGTTACAATGCTGAGACAGACGCAGAAGTTAAGTCCGTAATGAAGGATATCGGGAAGGATTTGGATCGTTGGATCACTAAAAAAGAAGTCGAGGATGCAGCTGATCTGATGAAGAGTTTGCCTGATAAGAATAGGAGTTTCGTGGAAAAGAAACTCAACAAGCTTAAAAGAGAGATGGAGTTGTTCGGACCGCAAGCAGTGGTTAGCAAATATCGTGAATATACAGACGACGAAGAAGAAGATTACTTATGGTGGTTAGATCTTCCATATGTTCTGGTATGTATGTATGTTTTTTTGTTTCCAACATTTCACTAGCAAACATGAAATTTAAGGTCTGTTTGGATTGTCTTATTTAAGGTTTATTTTTTTACATAAACACTTGTGAGACTATTTGATTAAGCTTATAGAAACAACTTATCGCATGTCAATAACCACTGATGCTGAATCAATTTTTTTTATTTTCTGTCAAGTGTATTGAGGTATACACAGTTGAAGATGAAGAACAAAGAATCGGATTTTATTCATTGGAGATGGCTCCCGATCTTGAATTGGAGCCTAAACCATGTCACGTGATTGCTTTCCAAGATCCCGGTGACTGCAAAAACCTTTGTTACATAATTCAGACACACATGGAAATGCTTGGAAGCGGCAATGCCTTTGTTGTTGCACGACCTCCTAAGGTAGTTAATTGTACTCTACACCTGTCCCTAAATATACGACTTTCTTGAAAAACGTTCATATCCGTTTATATAGGATCCCTTTCAAATTTTCAACTATATTAATCATTTTTTCATCAACATGCCCCTAATTTTGTTACATATGACAGGATGCTTTTCGGGACGCTAAAGAAAGTGGTTTTGGTGTTACAGTCATCAAGAAAGGTGAAATTCAGCTTGATATAGACCAACCACTAGAAGAAGTGGAGGAACAGATTACAGAGATTGGAAGCAAAATGTATCATGATAGGATGATGAAGGATCGATCCGTGGATATAAACTCGATAATGAAGGGTGTGTTTGGTGTTAATGTCTCCAACAAGAGGTAATTAATCATTTACGCGTTTTGTTTTGTACAATGTTATTTAATGATTTCGTTTTTCGTTTTGTTAAAAAGGTTAAAAAGGAAGTTGAAGTAATCTGAAAGGGTTGGCTCAAACTATTTTGACAAATGAAAACGGTTGAAGAAAATTACTGCATGCCTGCATTGTAGAACAAGTTTTTTCTCTCTTTCTTTTTGTAGTTTTTTCTTTACACGGATTAGGGTTGGTTGTATATGATTGAGAAAAATAGTCAAATTATAATAGTTGCTGATGATAACTTGATGGCATAGTGAGAATTTTTTCATCAAGAATGTTGTTTTTAGTAGAAGGGATTAGTAATGAAAATGAGTTATTCTTTCGTCTTATATTGAGTGTCACTTTAAATGATTAAGAAAAGTTGTAAATGAAAGAGTGTAACAATTTTCCTTCAAAAAAAAAAAGAAAAAGAAAGAGTGCAACAATTTTACTTAACCGTTTGATGTTAATTAGTATTACAAATGTATAGTGGAGGAGTACAATAAACTTGATAGTAATATGCATAACATTAATTTGATGATATAATTGAGATAAAACAATTAATGTTATTACTTATTTTGAAATTTGTTTTGATAATACGAGACCCGATATGAAAGATATAGTTAGTATTGATTTGTACTAGACGGTTAATAGTGAGAAAGTAGTAGGAGAATATTTAAAATGACGTGTGTTGTGTTATATATGAACGGTTAAAATTGTCTCCATGAGATCTGGCGTCTCATGTGGGTGACTGTCCGATTAAATTCAACATGTCTCCATGAGATCTGGCGTCTCATGTGGGTGACTGTCCGATCAAATTCAACAGTGAGAAGTGTGTTGAAGGTCGAAATCACGTGTCTTCGGCTAAGGTGAGACCTAACCTATTTCGCGTGTCTCTATGCGGTGCTTTCTATTGAGCTTTTCGTTGTGGATCTTGCGGGTGGCCCAAAACAATTTATCCCAAACCCTTGTTCATACTTGTGGAATAAGGGTTTGTCATGCATGTCTTATGTTATGCTTTTTGCCGAAGAAAGTGGAAGAGCTTTGATGGGACATCAATACATCGAGAACAATCGCATTAAATACCTCACATGATTATCAATATTTAGCAAGGAAATCTCGATATGTGGCCTTATATCTATCAGCAATGATTTCTTTTTGTAAGTTCGTAGAGATTGAGAACTATTCTTTTGTGTTTACAACATCTTTCATCTTCATCAACAACCTTCAATTGGTTATTGTTTCGACTTATTTGCGCCACCTCTTCTAGTGGAGCACTCAATTAAAATAGAATTAAATGCGTCAAAATTTCAAGTACAATCACTTATTTGATGTCTTGTTGAAGTGATTAATAATCGCCGACAATGACATTATTTTGTTGAAACAAAAACTGATGTGGTAGCAGTTGTGCCAATAAAAACCATAAAATGGCAAATAAAATTATTATATGCACGAAGATTGTATTAACCTTGTAAGTACGTATGAATCTAAAGCAGTTATCAATAATAGAATGGGGTGGGGGGTTGCACAGAACACGATCAATTGTTTATGTATAACTATAAATTAGATAATTTCAAATTAAAATAATAAATATAATAAAAACGATTAAAATTTCCTTTTGAATTATATATTTCTGAATGTGAGAATATCTATAACTTCCTGTAACGAATTTTATTTAATTATTATGACTTTTTATAAAAATACGAAATTACAACCTTATAGCCCCTATATGTTAAGAATCTCCGATCACTAAGATAAAAAATTTATATCACGTAAAACAAATCGATAATTTTACAAAATACATAATTACATCTCACAATAGGTATATATATATATATATATATATATATATATATATATATATATATATATATATATATATATATATATATATATATATATATATATATATATATATATATATATATATAAAGGATGGTTTGTCTTTTTTGTATCTCTTTCTTTTTTATTTTTTTTATTTAAATTATAAAATTTTAATGTAGCCCCATTCATGTCAATGGTCATGCATGAAGTATATTCTCTCCTAAAAAAAATATACTTTCTCTTTTTTTAATTGGATTGTTTACGTATATGAATTAAATTAATAAAAAATTTATCTACAATAAATTATTTAAAGAAAAAGTATATTTCTATGCATAGAAATTTCCGCGCAGTTTATTTACCTCACTTTTGATTTGAAAGGTAGGAATGGAAATTAGTTTTGAAGATTCCGCTGCTCCAAAGTCTTCTTCACCACTTGCTTGATTTTCAGAATACAAAGTCAAATTGCACATTGTCAAACTCAAACAACTTTGAACCTTCAAAACATTTTCTTGTTTGCATTGTCAATTTGTCACTGCCACGATGCCACAGCTACCCTCTTTTTTTTTATGATCAAACCGCCACTAAGAATAATCATCATTTTTTTTACATCAACAATCATAATCATTCGCAAGATTCGTTTCACTTTAATCAGTTAAGCACAAACAAAACATACACAAAAATGATTTGTAGAAGTTGAAAATTTTCTCACAGGGATGCCAAATTCCATTCCACCATTTATTATTTATCAAATCACATCTCTATTTCCAACATTGCTACCTCATTTTCACTTCTACAAAGCATAAACATTGAGCTATAATTTGAGGTAAATTTGATGAAAGAATGTGTTTAAGACCAAGGGAGTCATTACCCATTACTTTTAAAACAAGGGAAAAAAACAAAGACAATCATTAACTATAGTTATGTACTAGAATACTTGAACATACATACACATACCAAATTCTACTGCAGATTTCAACTTCAATTAAGAATTATAATTGCTGGTGACTTCGTCAAGGTGTCGGTCTATAATTTCAGAAACAGCTTCCATGAAAGTAGCTTCACTAGTACCAGGAAGAACAGAATCAAGGGCTGTTTTAACAATTCCTTCAATCACAGACTCGTTGTTCAAGGACTTTCGGCACATTAGGCTTCCTATGGCGAAAGGGGTCATCCCTTTTTCCACTCCTTTTTGCAGAAGCATGGTCGAGATTCGGAGAGTGCGGGCGCACTCGAGTGGCAGATCCCATCCGTGAAACTTCAGAAGGGCAATATCTTCTTCAGCATCCAGGGACTCTATGTAGTCGATGATCTCAGGAGAGTACGGCTGGCGAGCCTGAGGCCAATAAAGCCATTCAAAGGTACAGTCTTCAAACTGTTGGGCATGGCAAAAAAATCCTCATCAAGAAAATGCAGAGAAAATATTGCTAAACATAAAACATCCTCCCAAACCATCGAGAGAAAATAACTACCGAAGCAAACTCTAGATTGCATAATTTCACCTAAAAATACTTGATATGAAAAACATTCTGAACAAGACTACAAAAGTTTACACTTCACATCAAGAGAACAACAAAGCAGCATCACATGCATTATAAGACAAAAAAATAAGGTGCTTACACTGGTAGGGAGGCAGTATCCATGATCAATTGGAATCAAAACAGCCTGGTCATTTTCCTTCTCTCTGCCAAGCAAAATATTCCCAGCATGTCTATCTGCATTAGCAAGTCTCATGTCCAGCACCGTAATCTTATGCACTTCCTTCACCGGAAAAGCACCAGGTCCCATATCCTCACAACTTCCATTATTCTCCATGAACATTTGCAAGGAACCAAACTTAACTGTCAAACCCTCTGGATGGTTATACCCTTTATGCAAGGACTTCGCCATAACAGTCGGCGGAACACCGGCAAAGCCCTTCCCGTCGCCAAATAATGATCTGCGGCCACTCATTGGATGATCCAAAATATAAGCAGCTACTTCCCTGAAAGCTCCTTGGCCAACTCTTGTGCCCTTTTTTAAGCCTTCACCGTCTAATGACAAAGGTAAGCCTCTAGGGTTATTCACAGCCATTGGCTCTTCATCAATAGGCTTAAAAACAGATATATATTTTTGCCCGGTTGAATCTAGCATAAAGTAAGCCCCGCCTGTGCCCTCTGACGATCTGATTGGAGAATTTCCACTATCTAGCCCATCATATGTGGAGTTAATCATATCCCAAACCTCTGAAGTTAGTTCAACTTTAGGGTTAACAATGACCGGCTCCAAAAGAAGTCCTCTATCAAGAGCTTTCCTTGACATAATCCGCTCGATAGCTTCATACTCCCTTGCAGCATCTTCTTTACTAACATCATATTCTCTCCCATAGTCACTTTCATTAGCATCATTCAGTTCTTTTGCTTCAATGGACAACTCGTCAAGTCCCGTACTAACATCCGCGTACTTTGTTCTAACAAAAAGATGTATCACTGCATCATTATATTTGCAACAGATATCATCTATAAGCTTCTGATCCTCAAGCAGTTCCCCATTACACACAACCTCCTGCTGTTCAGGATCAGCAAACTCTTTTTCCCTCTTCGCAATCTGTTGCTTAACATACCCAACATCCTTGCATCTTTCAACCTGAAACGAAAACTCCTTCCCAGAACAAGTCCTCACACTAATAGTCTGAAGATCCGTCAGTCGAATCACCAAATGCAAAACATTTCCTTCCGTAACTCCGTAGTCTTTCAGCAGCGAATTGCTCCGCGACAACTCACGCCCATTACAAACCAACTTCTGCTTGTTTGTCACTCCCTCATTCCTTTGAATTTTAAGTTTCACAGACTCAATTGTATCCGAGGGTAGAACACGCATAGGAGACAAAGACCCCGAATACGAAAGATACACAAAGATAAACTCATGATGATCCACAGACGAGTGCAGTGGATTACAGAATCCATTTGTCGGAGACAACAGTGTCTCCCTCGAAACAGGACTAAGGGTACTTACACCAGCAGAAGACATTTTCTAATTTTAACTATATTGATGAACAAAATCAAAATTGAATGAAAAAAGTTTAAGGCTTTGACCTAAGCCAGAACCCTAATTCCTACAAAGGTTACACTTTTACAGCCATAAATTTGTACAAATTACTGAAATTAAAGCTCATCTATACCCAGAAGACCAAACAAACTAAAAATGAAATTTTGAACACAATATGCACAAAAGGAACAAACTTTATGATGGAAAAGATGAAAAAATCCAGACCCAACGCC